ATGCTTTGTAAAGCATTTGCTAAGCAGAGCGATGATATAGAGGACGCTGTTGGATTTGCCACTGCCCGATGGACTCGCTACGCAGAGCCTGAAAGGTAATTCAAAATGGTCATTCTTTGGACATTTCTTGAGCTTTTTTTTTTAATCTATCGTTTCATAGAAGTTAATCATCTTTCTGTGATTGTATATACAAGTAATCAAAATGTCTTCTCTTCCACCAACAACCAATAGTCCAGTCTTCAATAGATCTTTCTTCCTTCGATCAAATGATTACTTGACCATCGCCACCGCTGACAAGAGATACCAGAAACTCGGTGGGACTGGAGTCTTCAGTTCATTGGCTGTAGCAGGTAGTCTCGACTGTGGATCGTTGACGATTGCAGGAGCTGCTGTTGATCTCAGTTCACTGTCAGGAGTCACAGCTGGAACAGTTGCAGCATCAAAGTTACTTATGGTCGATGCGAATAAAGATATCAGCTCATTTCGTAATTTAACGGCAGTAAATCTTACTGGAACTCTACTAACGGCAGCGCAACCGAATATCACGTCGATTGGAACATTGTCATCTCTGAATGTGTCTGGAGGATTGACAGCATCTACGTTGACTGGAACGCTTAGCACAGCAGCTCAACCTAATATTACATCGCTTGGAACTCTCACAACTGGATTGCAAACAACGATCAACAACAACACAACTTCATTTGCAAGTTATGCGCGTTGGACAAACAGTCTTACTACGCCAATGAACTGTGTGCTCGAAATGTCAAACATCGCGCCTAGGTTCGGAACAATTTCACAACATCCTTTTCGTATCTGTTCAGGCAATGCAACAACATCCTTTTCGTATCTGTTCAGGCAATGCTCAATGTGGATAGATGTGAATCAGAACGTTCGAGTTGGAACCGTAGCACCATCTGGAACGTATAAGTTAGAAGTAGATGGATCTATAAACGCTACCGCAATTAACGTCAATGGCGTTGCAGTTGCTTCTTCGGCTGATATAACATCTATCACCGATATCACTGCGGGGACAGCTTCCGCAAACAAAGCTTTGGTTGTTGACAGTAGTCTAAATATCGCTGGAATAAATTCTCTCAGCGCAACATCATTGACTGGAACTTTGCTTACTCCAGCTTAACCAAACATAACGAGCGTTGGCACATTATCTAGTTTAAATCTGTCGGGTTCAGGTATCACTCACACACAGAGTGCTGGAGGCAATGTTGCTTCATTTACTAACTCAGCAGCTGTAAGCACGCTCACCATCGGTATTGCACGTGCTGGTGGCGCATGCGATATTCGATCAACTACTGCAAGCGATCTATACCTGGGTGCTAATAATACGGGAAGGCTCTCGATTAAAAGTCGAGGTAATGTCGGTATCAATACAACTTCTCCAGGTTATCAACTTGATGTGAGCGGGTCTTTCAACTCCACCAGCTTTTACATGAACGGAACACTTATCACAGCCTCGGCAACAGATTTGAATGGAGTAACGGGATATGGAACGTATCTGAGTGGTATCACTCCGGGTTCTGTC